TTCCCAGTAGCTTCACCCAGCCTTACTCAGCTGCCCAAGGTCTTGGCCCTTTGGTCCCAAAATCTGACCACTCTGGCCGCTGGGCCTGAGGCCGAAGCCAAAATCCTCCTCGTCCGTGCCGTTCACCACCTCCTTCCTGGTCTGTCTTTCTCCCTGATTTCTTCCTCACCTGGGCTTGGCTCCACCATCAGCCCAGATCCTGGCCTTAAGAGAGTGAGGAAGAATAGTCCATCACGTTGGACTCGAGGTAGTGCACCCACCATGGCACATTTTTATATTTTTTTCATCAAGACCAGATTCTAGTCAATTTAAAAGCGTGCTTATTCTACGTCCCATACTGGAATTAAACATGCGTATTAGTGTCGGGTACTGCGTTCCACATGGGTTCGGTATCTACAATCTATTCAACATTAAATAGTCCATTAACGGTAACACAACACTTAGTGATTGTTATTTTTCAACGTGGATTACACTACTTAATTTATTCTGGACAATAACCTTTAAAGGTTTCGGTTTTGTAATCAAGACGTCCTCTGGATCCAACTGGAGACGCGACATACGGCCAAAAGGCTGAGACCCATCAATTAGGGTGATCTCGACACGCACTAGTAACACACACCATCACACAACAACAGTAACACACACGGGCACCACAACACCACACAGTAACAACACACACAGATACGACACACACAGATAAACATCACACAATCACACCACATGAGTAACCACACAACAACACACAGTTACACACACTCACACACTAAGTAACACAGTAAGTAGTAACACATCAATTTCACACATTTACACACACAGACACACAGTAAACATCCAACACCATCAAAACACAGCACACACGTAAACACACACGATTCATAGGTGCAGTTTCAGAAATTAGAGGGAGGGGTCCTTCTCAGCTGTGCAGAGTCTGGTGAGGAGGTTACGGTTATATTTATTTAGAGCACACCACAGTAACTACAACACACACCACAGGACACAGTCACAACCAACAACTCAAATCAGCTGGATTTAACATTCTGCACTTCTGGTGTTTGGACTATTGAACCAGGTCCTGGTCCTTTTCTGAGTCGGGACTGGCCAGGTCGATAGGTGATCAGGTGATGTCTTTTCGATATACGAGGTGGCAGGCTGTACTGTGATTCATAGATCACAGTCACACACACACCAAACACACACACACACACTACCACCACAACTCTCTGATTGAACTAAAAGTTACAAGTAGAATAGAGACCAGTTCGATGTATTTAATAATGCTAATGGGATCCATACTGATGAGTCAATACAAGCGAGTATTGATTGACAGTATCATATGTAGACGCGGTTCTAATTCTTTAGAAAGAGGTGGCTGTTGGAGGGTCTTTCTCGCCGCATAATTAGGTCCTTCTAGCTAGAGCAGGCTCTGTTTCATTCTCTGGACCAGGACCAGGACCTGGTTCATAGTCCAAACACAGAGTGCAGAATGTAAACAGCTGATTGAGTTGTTGTTGTGTGTGTCTGTGTGTGTGTGTGTGTGTTACTGTGTGTGTGCTCTAAATATACCGTCCTCCCTCCAGACTCCTGCACAGCTGAGAGGACCCCTCCTCTATTTCTGACTGCCACCTGATCTGTGTGTGTGTGTGTGTGTGTGTGTGTTTGTGTGTGTGTTTTCTGTAATTAAAGACACGGGTATCTCCACTAGAGGGAGCTAAAGTACAACATTTGACATTCCTCCTGCTCTGATGAGCTGTTTCGGATTTTTGTACCAGAAAACTAATCTCTGATCAATATTCAGAGATTTTTTTCTTTATCAGCTGTTTTTTTACTGTTATTGTTATACATTAAATATAATATTAAGTATCCATAAAATAACTTCAGTCAGGGGTCATCCCTGTGCTTATATAGCAGCATGGTGTATGTTTATGAATCTACTGCTGTAATTAATATCTATAGTTAACGTCTGAGAGGCTTTCTAGCAGATGACCTTTCATTACTTTATGCAGGTTTGTAGGTTTTTGTACTTTTACTTCAGTAAAGTATCCAAATACACCTGATTACATCTTCCACCACTGTTGTATATATATATAAATATACACACTAGGGGTGTAACGGTACACACAAGTCACGGTTCGGTACGGGTTCGGTACAACAGAATTTTTTATTTATTTTTTTAAATCACATATAAAAGACTAGCTTCTTTTCATTTATTTTGAACAGACACCGATTGACTGCAAAATAAAAAACCATCTCCTGTTATAAAAGTAAAAAATAAATAGAATAAAACATAAAACAATTGTATTTAGGGAGGGTTCTTCGTTCTGTTAATACAGAGGAAGATAGACTGAGGGTAGTCCAGGTAGCACTTCTTGGCCAACTGCAACTTTGGTAACATCATTATAAGAAACATTATCGTGCACGCGTGTAAATGGCTGATGTGCACGGGATGGGACACTGTAGTGTGGCTCCAGCACCTTTAATAAATACTTGAAGCCGTGCATTATGGGCGCACAGGTGTTGATATGTATAGGCCAGTTGCTTCTGTGATGTTTTTGGCCCTGTCAGTGTTAATGAGAGAGGTGGCTTAAAAGCAGTACGCGTATGTCGGGGTGATGCCGTCTTATGTGGGTTAGCATGTTTGAGGTGTTGCCAGCAACATTACCGCACCTCCGTGAAACATCGCCGGCAGAAAGTCTTTGTCCGGTCCACCACTCGCGTGCCATCACCATTATATTGTACTGGGAAGCCAAAGTGCTCCCAAACAGCTGATTTAAATGAAGCTCCTCCAACTCCACACTTTCCATCACTTTTCTTCTTCGTCCTTTTTTGTAACTACTTCTTCTTCATGACTGTTTCTGGCAGCTTTTAGGCTCATTACCGCCACCTGGATTAAAGTGAGGACTGGACTTTTTTTTAAACTCACTCAGACGTATTCGTCGTATGACTGCGTGCACCGAACCGTGACGCCCGTACCGTGACGGTTCGGGACGAATACTACACCCCTAAATACACTGGGACAAATCACCAGGTTTTCACAATAAAAATAAAGTCCAATAATATATTGTATAGTGTAAGTGTGAGCGTGCACTACCACCACGTGCAGGTTGAGGGCCTGACCTGACCTGGACGATGAAGTTAAAACCCTGCTGAGGTGATGTTCCCACTACCAGGAAGTGCTGCCCCAAACTCCGTCTCCAACCCGCCCCCCCGCCTTCCCGCTTCGGCACAGAGCGGCAGCCCCCCTCCCCATTCCTGAAAGTCAACAATAAACCACGTTTCCAGTAAGCCGGATACCTCTCCAAGTCCTGCTCATCCCCATGGAGACCACTACGAGAGTCCACAGTCCTGTGTCCTCTGGCCAAAACCAGGCCACCCATGAGGGGAGAGAGAGCCTATATTTTACCCAATATGGATCAAAATGTAGATCTCCTCTGGGACACGCTGCAAATGCTCCTCTGTTTTCTCTGTGTGGACACAAAGAACAGACTTGGCAGCAGCTCTGGTGCATATTTGAGGCGAGCAGCGGTGGTGGTGTACGATATTTTACGGCCTCAGTGTCCCCTCTTTTGTGAGACGTGACGTCAGCATTCCCCTCGGTGCTGCGTGAGTGACACAGTAGCTTTGTTTTGGAGTCGCCACATCTCATTCACGGCCGCTTAACTCCTGAGTCCGGGGGCTGCGCGGTGGCCTTTCAGGATCCCTGATTCCTTAATCCGCTGGTTTTTAAGGCACTGAATAAGCGGCCGTTTGTATGCTCAGGGGCGGCGGGGTGCTTCTGCTTTATGTGAATTGTTGACTTGCAAAACACGCCCTTAAGGCACCGAGTAACTGATACAACGAGGGGATGACTGCCAGGAAGGTCATGGTGGAAGGTCAGTCACATGTGGATGGTGCAGAGAAACAAGATCCAAAGAAAGAAAGACGGCAAAGAGTTAAAGATTCAAGTCAATTAATTTGTTTTAATACAACCAAATATCCAAAATTCAACATACCGGTTTTTCAGAGCATCCAAATGGCGGCTCGCCTGGTCACACAGTACTCTCAGATAAACAGTAAAATGTGTTTGTTAACGATTTGAGGAGAGAAATAGTCAACAACAGAAATCTGGGGATCCATATCTGATCAGCACTGTTTGACAGTTTGATTGAGTTTGGTGCGTTGAGCTGGACGGCTCACTGGAGAATGAGCTGTCAATCACAAGGTAGCCCGCCCTAAAGGCATACACTGCTTTATGGTCTGTTTTACTCTAATGGTACCATCGTTACTAAATGAACATCATGCACATGTTAATGGAAGAAGACTTGAAACTAGAGACTGAGGGACCATAAACTCATCAGGAAACTGTTTACTGCTCATAAATCAACTGAAAGTCGACTCACTTTCTCCATAAGACTGTATGGTAATGGGAGGCTGCCCCTGCTGGTCATTACAGAGAAAGAAGGTTTTAAGACAGATTCACAGTCAAAGTTTGTCATTTATTCAACTCACACTGTAAACATTATTTGGGGGGTTCTTGATGAAAATGGTTTGCAGATAACATAATTATTTAGATATAGATTAAATATATAGATAAATAGATTAAAAAAACATTTATTCTTTTGTGGTTAAATATTTAAAGAACAAATTGAAATTTAAAATACAGTTTTATAAAAATACATTTATGGAACCAATATACTTCTTACAATTCAACGCCATTGATAAAAAACTTAGCCCAACTAAAGACTATCTATAGTTTTATAAAATTTAACGTGTCATATGTTCTAACAATACATCAATTTAATTTCTTATCTACATTCAACTACATTCTCTTTTTTCAGATTAAGACTTAGGCAGACAAGTACTTTAACTGCTGATAATCTTCTCTTCTTTTATCGATTACGGTTTGATTGTTTTTTACATTGTTGTTTTGCTACTGAAGGATCTGAATACTCTCCTACTGCGCGACACCTCGTATCTCTGACTCTTGAGAGGTCT